GAACCCTCGATTCCCGAGCTAAAAGGGCAAGTGAGTTTTGATTGTGGTTCTTGGGACGGTCCCTTGAAAACCAGTCTAGTGGTGATGTGGGAACTCATGAAGCCTTCCTGGTGTCCCCATCCTAACGCAGGCTTAATCTGGGACATGACCGCGGATGTCATATTGGAAAGGGATGATGATGCGAGTTTATATGATCTGGCCATGATACATCACCTGCTAAGCATGAGATTGATGAAGAAGAAGAGCAACCCGTCCACGGAGCTGTCCGAGGAAGGTACGTCGAGTGATTGGTTGGAGCAAGGCACATGCTTGGCTCAACACAGTGGGATGGAAGGACATGTTTGTAACGTGGGACACTGCCTGATTACGCTGAGCGAGCAGCATCGACAACTGGCACGATTGTATGGAAGATTAAGCATGTCAGATAAGAGTGCCATGGAATTGGTCGCAGACTGCCATGGGGTGACGGACGTAAACCTGATCACAGCCTTGGGATTTTGTAGCATGACGAGTTCGATAGAATCGCTCGAGCGCTTGGAGCGTGCCCATGAGCTAGTGGCGTCCCTCAGCGTGGAGATATTCCCTGGAGCATTACAGACAGAGCAAAAGATTGGAGGCTGGCGAGAAGCCCTAGAGAATGAAATGAATCTGAGGGATAGTGAAGCCTATCACAGACCTACTGGTTCAAAATATATGGTGGGTTCAAGCTCCGCGCCATACTGCAATAGCAAGTATCCTACGCACATGGTGGTGATGGATGCGAGGACGCAACAGGTGTTGGTTGACCAGCTTTTCTCTGTGCCAAAATGCGTGAGGTTGGCCAGAATGTCAGAGAGGTCATATGACTTGTTGGCAAAGATCTTTCGGGCAGTCCCGAAGAGATCCGAAGGCGAGTTGCAAGACGTTGTGGGTGAAGAGTTCATGATACTGAACGAAGGCAACGTGAGTGAGTTCCAGAAGCAGAAAGCGAGTGGAGCGTTACCCACTGAATTCCCCACCATAGAAGAGAAAGACGATCTACATAGAATCCTGATGGAAGTGGAACCGTTGCTGGGAGCCTCAGGGTATCGAACCCGAAGGAACATAGTGAGAACCCACGGGGAATATCCTTGCCACTGCTTAGCGCAGACGTTGTGGTACCCCAAACGTGGGAACCTGATCCTAATTTGGGACGTGGAGGAGTTGTACTCCACGGGGTTGCCCGATCAGAATCAACCAGTGTCAATCGTGGTGGTTAGCGCCATGCTAGCAGTGAGATGGTTGGAGGCTTATGCGGACACAAATGAGCAGGAGACGGCCGTGCCGACTCCTGAACAGCTGAGCAACGTGAAAATGAGTAGTGAATTGGATCTTTTCAGAACCACTTGCAAGGTTCTGAGAATACCTAAAGCCATTGAAAGAATATGGTCAAGGCAAAGATTGATGCCTTGGTTCCGTGCAGTGATGACATCTTGGATGTATGAACGCGCGAAGCGTCACATGTCAAGGAACACGGAAGCCTATCAATCTTTCCAGCTAGACATAGGACCAGGAGCCTATAAGAGAGCTTTCCTGACGCATAGAAACGCGGTCACCACTGCGGTGAAGCGAGTAGCTGGAGCGCCTTGTGTTACTGAAGATGAAAAGAAAGAGGTCTTAAGAGCTGACCTAGAACGAAACGTGAGCCTGTGTCTTCACAACAGCTTTTGCAGGAACCGGGAGCAGAAGGTGAATGTGGACTTACTACCTTGTTGCAAACCGAGGCTGTTGGAGCAGGAGGGTTGGGGCACGGCCCGCAACTCTCTGGACATGTTAGAGAAAGTTCTGGAAGACAGTGACGCTGAACATCAGGATGGAGAAATGATGGAATGAAGATGACCGAAGGAGAGAAGAGAAGGAGAAAAAACTTGATTGTCTTTGTGTGTAAAAACTTGAACAAATCAACCAAGTTTTGATTATTGAACTTGTGAAACTTTTTGTTTTGATTTAGTTTGGTCAGACCAAACTTTGAAAATTGTTGCAATTGTTAAAATTGTTGAAATTGTTGATTTTAGTTACTACTATCTATGTATGTATATAAGGAGCATAGGTGAGTATATTTACCTATTTATTCCCGACTGAAGTTTTTAACCTGTGTAAGACACAAATTCACTGTGTGGCGACATGGTAAGTTTGAGTAAACTCGCTCGAGAAGGGTGGGTAACTCAATAACTTTCCTAGCCACAGAGTTTCTTAGTTTTAATATTGAAAGGACCGCATAAATGACTAATTATACTTGGTGAGTGAAGTTAAGTTAATTTTAACGGGTGCGTGGCCGTGCCACGTCCCACTTTTTAATCAGAAGCGAAAAGAAGTTTTATGGCGAGATGACGTAAGTAGTCAGAAAGGAAATTTTATCTAGGACACTCCTCATGGTGCAACTTTTGTGAAAATGTTGAAAGGCAGTGAGATGTAGTACGATGCCATTTGTGAACACGTAGTGAGTTGAGGTGGAGTAGATAAATTTCATTTTCTTATGCGATTTGTAAGATTGGTTACAGAAAACTGGATACCTACTTGACGATAACCCGGTGTTGTGCGATCAATAGGGACATTGATGGAGACTTGTCCGGGGAGTATGCGCCGTTAATGAGATTGTCAAATTTGCTGAAATTTTATTCGAAGGTTGGCAAGATAGTGCAGATAACTGATAACGAGTGCGCTCATTAGTAGTTATCTTGATTTAATAGGAAGAGGTTTTATGATCGACTGTAGTGTTTTAATCCCGCAGGTCTTGAATCTCAAGATAAATTTTCACATCGTCTTGAAAGCTCAAATATAGGTATAACATTACTCCGAGATTCTTCACATTGACTTTTACTTCAATATTTTTTTTATCCAGGGCAATTGTGTAAATTTGATCATCTTTTCTAACATGTTTTCTACTGAAGATGACGAGTTCTATTTTTTTTTGCATTAAGTTGGTGTAAGTGTCAGTGAAACAACTGTGATAAATTATTGCATTTTTTTTCAAGCTCTCTTAAAGCAGTTTTAATGTTTTTGCCCTCACAGAAAAGAATTGTGTCATCTACATACTGAACTACTTTGCATGAATCAGTCAACTGCTTGTTAAGATCGTTGATGTACAGATTTGAAATAAGAGGCCATAGAACAGTTCCTTGCGGGTCATTTCTAAGAAGTGAGAAATATTAATTATCAATAAGGGCATCGGTCGCTGATGAAAAAAAGTAACAGGTCTATAACAAGTTCAGAAAACTTTATTTTTCGAGTTTTGTTTTTATGTTAAATGTAACAGTCGCCTACTTAAGTCAGATATGAAGTTAAAGAAAAATAGGCCATATAACCATTGGCTCAAGAGTCAGTGACATTATTTCTTGTGTTTTTCTACCTCAAAAATGGAGCCAATTCGGTTCACTTGCAATATGAGACTAAAACCCGTGTTACAGCTTAAAGCCCACTGCCAAAATACCCCCTTCTAGAAAATACGAACGCCCCCATACTCGAGTCTCAAAATACCTAAAATACGCGAACGCCGTTAAAAACAGGGTCGGAAACTTATGTAGAATTACTTTTTATTAGACAGTGGACCTTTCATACATTTCAGATGGATCAACCTAAAAACTCTCCCTAACTCAACATAACAACATAAACGCACTGAAGAAAATTAATGTAACAGTCGCCTACTTAAGTCACATATGAGCTCAAAGAAAAATAGGCCCTATAACCATTGGCTCAAGAGTCAGGGACACTATCTCTTGTGTTTTTCTACCTCGAACGGTCGGAGCCAATTCGGTTCACTTGCAACATGAGACTAAAATCCTCGTTACAGCTTAAAGGCCACTACCAAAATACCCCCCACTCTAGAAAATAAGAACGTGCCCAGACTTAGGTCTCAAAATACCCAAAGTACGCGAACGTCGTTAAAAACAGGGTCGGAACAGTCCGTACAGTTACTTTTCATTAGACAGTGGAACTTTGATCCTTTTCAGATGGATCAACCTAAAACTCTCCTTATCTCTACATAACAGTTACAAAACACACTCAAGAAAACTAAATCGGGTACTCACATAACAGCAAACTCGAGAATTGAGGTAACTAATTTAATCAGTAACTCTAGCATTAAGGTGATTAAGTTTCAACTCAAGAAGTTTGTAATCAATTAATTCCAGCAAGGGAAATGAGTTTTGACTCGAGAATTGAGTTTTTGAACTGGACCATTGGGAGACCCCAGCTGTCCAGCTTTCCACCGAGGGTTTACTCTGGTTCACTTCTTATTTGTCCCTGCTTTGTTTGCAATCGCTCTGCTTCCTATTCAGGATAGGACAGCTCTACTCGTGTTTGATTTATATCTGGAAATTGCGAAGAGCAATTTCCCGCTGCTTTTTTTTTCACTACTTTCTCGCAATTGTAATTCGGTGGATCTGATCTTTTATTTCTGATATTTTCAGTTTTCGCGAGAAAGTTGAGCATGACAGGCTCAATTCGAATTTTTGAAAAATTACATTTCACCCCAAAATTAAGTTGTCCGTATTTCTCAAGGTCAAAGTTCCAAATATGACCGACTGGCACATTCTCCCCGGACTCAAGATTGATGTCCTCATCGCGTGTTGCGTCTGCCAGTGAGTACCCAGAATGCTGAGTTTTGCTCAAGATACAGTGCCAGTGGTCATTTACAGAAGTTTGCAGCAGATTTTAACTTTATCTACACCCCAAAATTCACAACCATATAAAATTGTCACACTATCGCTGAACAGCAATCAAAAATTTCATATACTCGACCTTAAATCTCCGCTCATGAAGCTAATGATCAAAATTTCGTTTGTCCTATCCAATCGGAAAATTGTCATGCAGCATTTTAATTTGTATAATAATTATGGCATATTAATAACAATATGTTGTTTCGTTAAAATTTCCTTTTCGTGACCTCGGATTTCATCCGAGTTCACACTCGAGCCCCTTTCCTTCCCTCTCAAGACTCAAGAAATCCACATTGAGCTCCCTGCTCATTTCGTATTACTAGCCTTCGAGATGCTAGGCCCTGATGAGTTTGACATCGTGATCTGCCTTAGCAGCTCTTCCTCATCATCGGAGCTGATTACGATCTCTTCCCATGCTTTTAATTGTTTGAAGGATCGCATCCACTCCCTCTGCTCTTGCAACTTCTTTGCCTGATTTGGTAAACCTTTCACTTTCGATTCCCTGTTCAAGCAAAAAGAATTGTGCAGGCTCAAGCTCACGTTCTTCGCCAAGTCCTCCTCGAGTATCGATTCTCTCGCTTTGGTATTGTCTCTAGACACCCTACCGACTCTTTTCCAACCTGTCGTGCTCGCATTTCGATGGGTCAGCAGAGGTCTCTTGGAGGCTTCCGGTCCTATCTCTGCCAGAAACTGTCGATATTCCTTGCTAAAATTTTTCATGTGGTCTTTCGTCACCATATACAATCAAAATGTCAATGTCGCTCGAAACCACGTGATGACTTTTATGCGGCTCCATACGTGCCTGATATCCATAGGTATGGCAATTACCTTGCACGCCGTCTCAAACAACTCAAGTCTTCTGCTATGATCGATAGCGTATATCTACACTGTTCATCGGCTTCCCGATGGTATTCTGTCTCTCGAAATCACTCGTGTTTTCACCTTCCAAACTCAAGAGTTCTTCTCCCCAGATTTCACTCAAGTCATCTCTTTGTTCCCTCGGCTCCGTTCCCAGTATCTTCTTTAAAAGCTTGTGTGATTGATGTGACATTCGAGCCAGTCGTACGCACTTGGGTACCGAGAAGGCCTTGTCTACCAGTATCCTTTGGCTGGACACCTCCACCATCGCCATGTGCAATGGATAGTGGCTCCCACATAGGTTGGCCATGAGTGATCCCACCAAGGATTTTGCATTTACTGGCAGACCGTAAGCCTCGCTCACTGCAAATCCCAATTCCGCCTCAAGACCAATCTTCCACCCTCTGATGTGTTTCTGGATGGTTTGCAACGCCCCCGGCCACGACTCCACCTTCAAGGCTGTCACCAAATGGTGCTCAGACTCCAGCATCTCCAGTGATTGCAAACTGCACATTGTTGAGAAGAACCCCTGCGCCGTTGCTATATTCACTGTAGTGTTTGCATAGCACTCAGCCACTATCTGCACTTCGCTTTTCTCTCTTTCTGTTATGTCGCCAAACCATCAAAACAGCTTCTGTCGCTGACTCCCTGCATTCATCCTGCGCTTCTAACTGCAGGATGGCGTTCAACATCACTGCCATCCTCTCATCAGTCCAGGAAAACAATCAAAAACAAAGCAAATATTTATAAAATAGACAAACATTTTTGCATTTTATTATTGAGGATTTACTGTTACCATGCATTGAAAAAACGCTAACACATGCACCAAAATTCGCTAATTGGAAGCTATAACGTTATAATTGCAGCGTTACAGTTATGAGAGCTAAATGTCAACGTCAGCTTCAAATTCCTGTCTAAAATACCAAAAGTAGTCTAAAAATTGAAAATATGCAGACCAGTTTCTCTTGTCACTGACACTACTTTCTTTCAATTAGTCACGAATGACAGAGATCAAAATTTAAAACATATACACGAGGCGTAGCTTCGCGTCACTTGCTATACAACACGAACATAAACAACAGTCGGAAATGAAACAAAAATGTTGAAAAAAAATTAAAAAAATAGGACTACTAAGATTGTCGGATGCCGGACATCCGAAATTTTTGGTAGTTCTAGTTTTTTTGGACTTAACTTTTGTACCAAACTTGCTTACATTTTGAAAAATACTATTTTACAGATGAAAAAACTGTGTTAAAGTTAAATTTTTGGTCTGAACTCCCTTCGGCTTAAAGTCCCGTCGGCTTGTTGTCCCAGACCCAAAAACCAAAAATTTCTTATGTCCCGATAAACACTTAATTTGCCAGTATTTTCAAATGTACAAGTGTAAATCAAATTGTTTAATCAAGTTATAAATCGATCCTTGTTATAACTCAAGTTTTATTTGCCCTGCTAAGTTGTTTTGTTAATGAGATTGTCAAATTTGCTGAAATTTTATTCGAAGGTTGGCAAGATAGTGCAGATAACTGATAACGAGTGCGCTCATTAGTAGTTATCTTGATTTAATAGGAAGAGGTTTTATGATCGACTGTAGTGTTTTAATCCCGCAGGTCTTGAATCTCAAGATAAATTTTCACATCGTCTTGAAAGCTCAAATATAGGTATAACATTACTCCGAGATTCTTCACATTGACTTTTACTTCAATATTTTTTTTATCCAGGGCAATTGTGTAAATTTGATCATCTTTTCTAACATGTTTTCTACTGAAGATGACGAGTTCTATTTTTTTTTGCATTAAGTTGGTGTAAGTGTCAGTGAAACAACTGTGATAAATTATTGCATTTTTTTTCAAGCTCTCTTAAAGCAGTTTTAATGTTTTTGCCCTCACAGAAAAGAATTGTGTCATCTACATACTGAACTACTTTGCATGAATCAGTCAACTGCTTGTTAAGATCGTTGATGTACAGATTTGAAATAAGAGGCCATAGAACAGTTCCTTGCGGGTCATTTCTAAGAAGTGAGAAATATTAATTATCAATAAGGGCATCGGTCGCTGATGAAAAAAAGTAACAGGTCTATAACAAGTTCAGAAAACTTTATTTTTCGAGTTTTGTTTTTATGTTAAATGTAACAGTCGCCTACTTAAGTCAGATATGAAGTTAAAGAAAAATAGGCCATATAACCATTGGCTCAAGAGTCAGTGACATTATTTCTTGTGTTTTTCTACCTCAAAAATGGAGCCAATTCGGTTCACTTGCAATATGAGACTAAAACCCGTGTTACAGCTTAAAGCCCACTGCCAAAATACCCCCTTCTAGAAAATACGAACGCCCCCATACTCGAGTCTCAAAATACCTAAAATACGCGAACGCCGTTAAAAACAGGGTCGGAAACTTATGTAGAATTACTTTTTATTAGACAGTGGACCTTTCATACATTTCAGATGGATCAACCTAAAAACTCTCCCTAACTCAACATAACAACATAAACGCACTGAAGAAAATTAATGTAACAGTCGCCTACTTAAGTCACATATGAGCTCAAAGAAAAATAGGCCCTATAACCATTGGCTCAAGAGTCAGGGACACTATCTCTTGTGTTTTTCTACCTCGAACGGTCGGAGCCAATTCGGTTCACTTGCAACATGAGACTAAAATCCTCGTTACAGCTTAAAGGCCACTACCAAAATACTCCCCACTCTAGAAAATAAGAACGTGCCCAGACTTAGGTCTCAAAATACCCAAAGTACGCGAACGTCGTTAAAAACAGGGTCGGAACAGTCCGTACAGTTACTTTTCATTAGACAGTGGAACTTTGATCCTTTTCAGATGGATCAACCTAAAACTCTCCTTATCTCTACATAACAGTTACAAAACACACTCAAGAAAACTAAATCGGGTACTCACATAACAGCAAACTCGAGAATTGAGGTAACTAAATTAATCAGTAACTCTAGCATTAAGGTGATTAAGTTTCAACTCAAGAAGTTTGTAATCAATTAATTCCAGCAAGGGAAATGAGTTTTGACTCGAGAATTGAGTTTTTGAACTGGACCATTGGGAGACCCCAGCTGTCTAGCTTTCCACCGAGGGTTTACTCTGGTTCACTTCTTATTTGTCCCTGCTTTGTTTGCAATCGCTCTGCTTCCTATTCAGGATAGGACAGCTCTACTCGGGTTTGATTTATATCTGGAAATTGCGAAGAGCAATTTCCCGCTGCTTTTTTTTTCACTACTTTCTCGCAATTGTAATTCGGTGGATCTGATCTTTTATTTTCAGTTTTCGCGAGAAAGTTGAGCATGACAGGCTCAATTCGAATTTTTGAAAAATTACATTTCACCCCAAAATTAAGTTGTCCGTATTTCTCAAGGTCAAAGTTCCAAATATGACCGACTGGCACATTCTCCCCGGACTCAAGATTGATGTCCTCATCGCGTGTTGCGTCTGCCAGTGAGTACCCAGAATGCTGAGTTTTGCTCAAGATACAGTGCCAGTGGTCATTTACAGAAGTTTGCAGCAGATTTTAACTTTATCTACACCCCAAAATTCACAACCATATAAAATTGTCACACTATCGCTGAACAGCAATCAAAAATTTCATATACTCGACCTTAAATCTCCGCTCATGAAGCTAATGATCAAAATTTCGTTTGTCCTATCCAATCGGAAAATTGTCATGCAGCATTTTAATTTGTATAATAATTATGGCATATTAATAACAATATGTTGTTTCGTTAAAATTTCCTTTTCGTGACCTCGGATTTCATCCGAGTTCACACTCGAGCCCCTTTCCTTCCCTCTCAAGACTCAAGAAATCCACATTGAGCTCCCTGCTCATTTCGTATTACTAGCCTTCGAGGTGCTAGGCCCTGATGAGTTTGACATCGTGATCTGCCTTAGCAGCTCTTCCTCATCATCAGAGCTGATTACGATCTCTTCCCATGCTTTTAATTGTTTGAAGGATCGCATCCACTCCCTCTGCTCTTGCAACTTCTTTGCCTGATTTGGTAAACCTTTCACTTTCGATTCCCTGTTCAAGCAAAAAGAATTGTGCAGGCTCAAGCTCACGTTCTTTGCCAAGTCCTCCTCGAGTATCGATTCTCTCGCTTTGGTATTGTCTCTAGACACCCTACCGACTCTTTTCCAACCTGTCGTGCTCGCATTTCGATGGGTCAGCAGAGGTCTCTTGGAGGCTTCCGGTCCTATCTCTGCCAGAAACTGTCGATATTCCTTACTAAAATTTTTCATGTGGTCTTTCGTCACCATATACAATCAAAATGTCAATGTCGCTCGAAACCACGTGATGACTTTTATGCGGCTCCATACGTGCCTGATATCCATAGGTATGGCAATTACCTTGCACGCCGTCTCAAACAACTCAAGTCTTCTGCTATGATCGATAGCGTATATCTACACTGTTCATCGGCTTCCCGATGGTATTCTGTCTCTCGAAATCACTCGTGTTTTCACCTTCCAAACTCAAGAGTTCTTCTCCCCAGATTTCACTCAAGTCATCTCTTTGTTCCCTCGGCACCGTTCCCAGTATCTTCTTTAAAAGCTTGTGTGATTGATGTGACATTCGAGCCAGTCGTACGCACTTGGGTACCGAGAAGGCCTTGTCTACCAGTATCCTTTGGCTGGACACCTCCACCATCGCCATGTGCAATGGATAGTGGCTCCCACATAGGTTGGCCATTAGTGATCCCACCAAGGATTTTGCATTTACTGGCAGACCGTAAGCCTCGCTCACTGCAAATCCCAATTCCGCCTCAAGACCAATCTTCCACCCTCTGATGTGTTTCTGGATGGTTTGCAACGCCCCCGGCCACGACTCCACACTCAAGGCTGTCACCAAATGGTGCTCAGACTCCAGCATCTCCAGT